GCTGAACTGCAGATAGCAGTCAGCTGAAATAGCAGTTAGACTTATATACCACTTCATAGGGCTTTCAGCCCTCTCTAAGCGGTTCCCACAATCTGGGTCCTCATTTTACCCACCGCGGAAGGATGGAAGGCTGAGTCAACCCTGAGCCGGTGAGATTTGAACCGCTGAACTGCAGATAGCAGTCAGCTGAAGTGGCCTGCAGTACTGCACTCTACCCACTGCGCCACCTTGGCTCTCTATAGCAATAGCAGTTAGACTTATATACCGCTTCATAGGGCTTTCAGCCCTCTCTAAGCGGTTCCCACAATCTGGGTCCTCATTTTACCCACCTCGGAAGGATGGAAGGCTGAGTCAACCCTGAGCCGGTGAGATTTGAACCGCTGAACTGCAGATAGCAGTCAGCTGAAGTGGCCTGCAGTACTGCACTCTACCCACTGCGCCACCTCGGCTCTAAGTAGGGAAGTCAATTAAATTAAAAAAAGGAAAGTACTTCAGTATCGGAAAAAAACCGTACCGCCCACCATGAATGTTGGAACGCCCACAAGTGGGCAGAAGGGACCAGGTTGACTACCACTGGATTAACTCAAGAAACGAATGCATATTAGACTCATTGCCATACTTCTGGCTAAGCAGCTAATTTCAAAGCAATTCATTTGCTCCCAAGATACCCCCAAAAAATAAATATATAGCACAAACAGAAGCTGTTTTCCCTGCATGGCGAGGCACACAAATATTTGCCGGAGCCTTAGGCATTAGGCCCCTGGTGAAGGCGGAGGAATGTAGGCTCTTATGTGACACGCCAAAGTAAAGCAGGAGAAGGAGAAGGGGCCCGAGGTATCGGCCTACCAGGTGCCATGCGTGTAGAATCCGGGATCCGGCTCACCGTTTGGATTTGCGGTGGGGAACCTTCAAAGGAAGGAAGATGAAAATAAGCAGAACTAAGTGGCGGCTATGATGCCATTTCTTTAGTCGGGGATATGGAAGCACGGATCCCTTCAATCTACCCACCTGTACATTATAGAGCAGGGGTGTCAAACTCGAGGGCCATATGAGGGTTGTGTTTGACCTGGGGGGGGGGGGGGCTGGGGTGAATGTGGCCAGGGTGGGCGTGGCCAGCTCAACATCACTTGTGTTGGGGGCACCTGTGGTGGCCAAGTGCTACGGCACGACTTCCCTCAGTCCTTCTCTCACTCTCATAACCTTCCTTCCTTCCTTCCTTCCTTCCTTCCTTCCTTCCTTCCTCCCTTTTCTTCCTTTTGTTCCCTCTTCATTCTCCTTTCTTCTTCCTTCCCCTCTTTCCTTTTCCTTCCTTTCTTTCCACCTTCCCTTCTTTGTCTTTCCTCTTTCCCTTTCTCCATTCCTGTCCCTTGCATACTCAAATGCAAAAGGGGAAGCATTCCCTCTTTCTAGTTTATTTTAATGCCAGCGAAAACAGCTCGGGGGTTGGTGAGCTGGAAGAGTCACCGTGAGCTGGTCCTTTATTGTTTCCAGGGTGGCTCCGCGGGCCAGGTCTAAGCACACCCCGTGGGCTGGATGCTGCCCGCAGGCCTTGAGTTTGATACCCCTGTTATAGAGGAACCAGAGAAATCTCATGTGCAAGACACGAATGCATTAAGATGATTGCATTCATGGCCCTCATTAACTGGGCCCCGAGTGTGAAATTGCAAATTCCAATTCTGGAATGAAAGTAGAACCTCAATGGTACAGCAGAGTTTACATGCTTCACTCCAAATTCAGGGGTGCGGGTGGTGGATATGGTTATATAACCCACCAGTCCAGTGTTTCCCAATCTTGTCAACTTTTAACATGTGTGGATATTGCTGGCTGGGGAATCCTGAGATTTGAAGTCCACATGTGTTAAAAGTTGTCAAGCAGACTATAAACCAATCATATGACACACAAATCCAGTCTCCCTTGAAAAGCACTAATTACACTTCAGACAACTCCAGAATATAGTACGATTTGATTTTACCTTCCCCAATACCCGGATATGTACACTACAATGATGAGGTTCACACAAGCTATCTAACTCCAGTATAGCCCAATCTACCATCTGGTGTGAACCCAGACACAAACTTAGCTCACGCAGGCTAAGCCTTGATTTGGTTCATGGAACAAACAAGAATTGACTTGAGTTTGCATAGCGAAATCCTGGAATGTGGCTGGCAAATCATGGTAGGCAGCTTGGAACATTAGCAATAGCATAGCAGTAGCACTTAGATTTATATACCGCTTCCCAGTGCTTTACAGCCCTCTCTAAGCGGTTTATAGAGTCAGCATGTTTACCCCCAAACAATCCGGGTCCTCATTTTACCCACCTCGGAAGGAGGGAAGGCTGAGTCAACCTTGAGCCTGGTGGGATTCGAACGGCCGAATTGCAGGCGATGCGTATCCTGCAGTGCTGCATTCTAACCCCTGCTCTTCCTACACTACACTAAACCAAACTCAAAATAAATCGCAGGGCAGTATAATTCAAGGTGTACGAGCGAAGTTAGGAGCGATACCTTTGGGAGTGGTGTTCACCGTACTGCTGCCCCAGCTGCTTCTCCGGATTTCATCGTAGGCAGACTCTACATCAAATGAAGAACAAAGATGGCCTGTTAGGCAAATGACAACAACAATAACAACAACACCCTTTGGATCAGTGTTTCTCAACCTCTTAAGATTGGGTGGACTTCCAACTGCCAGAATTCCCCAGCTAAGTTGCAAAGTTGGAGAAACGCTGATTTGGTTGGAGAAGAGAGAGACGACAAATTCAAAGGCCTGACGGTTGTGGTGATCATCGCAGGTCATCATGTGACCGCATTTGATTTTACAATTCTCCTTACAATTTTTTTCCTGCAGTGGTTGTGAAGCGAACCCATTGTTCCCCACGGAGCTTTTTTTTTTTTTCTTGTTGCAAACCAAAAGGAATAAAATGAGTGAAGAGCTCCAGGGTCAACGGTTACTAAGAAAGTCAAGGAATCATTATCAACTTAAGCCTCGCTTCCTCTTCTCACCCTTCTGCCCTTGGAAATGTAGCCTGTAGCAGTGGTGGGATTCAAATAATTTAACAACCGGTTCTCTGCCCTAATGACCATCTGGGTAGGTGGGGCTCGGTGGTCATGTGATTGAGTGGGTGTGGCCAACTCAATGTCACTCACGCCGATGGGCGCTTCGCCTTAGCTGTTGCAATGTAATAAGGGTTAACCGAGAGGCAGTTTCTGTAAGCAGGGCAATAAAGATTAGGCTAGAAACAACACAAGAATGTTTCCTTCCTGCCTTCCTTACAGGATTAGCCCTGTAAAGTGGGAAGAAACATTTTTTTCCAACAACTGGGTCTCCAAACTGCTTAAAAAGTTAACAACCGGTTCTCTGCCCTAATGACCATCTGGGTAGGTGGGGCTCGGTGGTCATGTGATTGGGTAGGTGTGGCCAACTCAATGTCACTCACGTTGATGGGCGCTTCACCTTAGCTGTTACAATGTAGCAAGGGGTAACCAGAGAGGCAGTTTCTGTAAGCAGGGCAATAAAGATTAGGCTAGAAACAACACAAGAATGTTTCCTTCCTGCCTTCCTTACAGGATTAGCCCTGTAAAGTGGAAAGAAACATTTTTTTCCAACAACTGGGTCTCCAAACTGCTTAAAAAGTTAACAACCGGTTCTCCCGAATAGGTGCAAACTGGCTGAATCCCACCACTGGTTTACAAGCCAGCCATGTCCCACCTTTTAAAATAATTTCTATTATTACAGGATGTAAAAACAAGAAACGAGACAGCAGGCAAGAAACAGCCTTCTGCTGCGCCTTTCCCCAAATATTGTTTGAAACAGCCTATCTGCTAAAATAATTGAATATCCATACAAAGGCTAAGGGCTATTTGGCCCTGGACTGATTTTGTCACAGTTCTACTTGTAAATAAAATATCATCTTTCCACTCTGGCATATTA